AGCTTACAAAAATTCATCGCATCGTCAAAGATTGTCCAGAAATAAGTAAGTAATATAATCCTAGTCTGCCTACCAAATTTCATTCCAAATTATTCTAAAATCTAGAATAGGATTAAAAGCGCCATTTGGACTTGGATTGATTTACATCGTACAGCGGCGATAATAGAAACGACAATATTAATTACGCGCGCACTCTGCAAGCAGAGTTAATCGCGTATCGCGTGAATAATGCCCATATTTTTGCAATTTGCATTCGACCGCGTCGCCGATTCGAGAATTTACGATTTACCGGTGCAGCAAATGTGCACCTAGCAGTCTCAAACGCCGTGTGTCTCTCTCGTCCCGATCGGTGAGAATAAGCAGCACACAAAATTGAGTTGCACGTCGCGTTTCACTTTAGAGTTAGTTAACGCACATTGCCGCACAGCGATGAACAACATTCGAAGCGTGTTTCAACATCGGCGTGTTTTAATGTGCAATTTATGGATTGCGATGAAGAGCCATGAACATCGGCCCAACGCATTGCAACATAATTTATTGTTATGTGTTTATTTTACATTCTGGTATTTCGACGTTTAAACGTTTCAATGTTTAAATTTGCCCCCGCGGCTGTAAAAGAACCCTAATTTATATCCTACACATTAAACTCAAAAATTAATAATTGCGTATAATTAACATTCACGCAATTAATTTTCACACTCTGTGCACATTTACACTTCGTTACTTTAAACATTAAGCAATGTTTTAATTACTTAATACTTTGTTATCTTTTACAATGTTTTTATAAGATTGTTTGTTTTCACGATGTTTTTACAATTCTGATACGCGGAAAAGCCTGTAAAGTATGAAATGTATAAATTACTTGAGAGTCGTGACTAGAACGAATTAATAAAGCAGTTCCAAGTGTGTCCACATGGTCAAAACGTTAAATTATTGCTAATATAGAGTGAAGGCAAGTCAAGCTTGGAAAACTGCGAGCGAGGAAATAATTCACAGCCTTAATCTTGCTTTCCATACGTTGTATTGTTGGTTTATCCACTTCGTTTAATTGTGCTCGTTCGAGTAACACTTAGGTGCACTTAAGAGCTGGAAAATGTTGCCAACATGTCATCATTCATATTTAAATTTCTACTTGTAAATATTTATTAGCTTAGTGGGAGAATAAGAAATATGATTATTTCATTTAAATTACTAGAATGAGAATAATGCATGATTATTTATTCGTTTTACTAAGTGAATAATTTCAATTATTGAAAATTTGTTTGCGACTGCTCAAATAAACATGCTAACCAATATTTATAGATTGAAACTATGCAACAACACAAATTAATTTAATATGAAAATATTTCCAGCAATAAAAAATTTGAAAAAAAGTTTAACCCGTAATATTTCCTTGATTTGCATTATTTTGATGATGATTTGACGGCATAATACATTTCTGTAAATTAGGCAAAAAATATTTATAAGCTTTGTATTGATCGCGAGCATACGAGCGCAAGAAAGCAAATCATAATTTCTTCCAGTGCTATTTATATGCATTATATGCAAGTATAATGTAATATAAAAAAGAAAATAGGAAATGAGTAGAAATGGGCCGCAACGGACAGAAAAACGTGGCGAAGGATAGGCGCGCGCAGGACGAGGATACGGATAACGTTAACCAACACAAAACAAACACATAAAATTTTATGTTGCGTTTTAGCATGGCCGGTTGCAACCACGCACGGCATAGCGCTGCTCGTTTTTATATTGCAATTTTATCTTTTGTTCTTTGCCAGGACGAGCTGCTAGCAGCAAAAAATACGAAATAAATGCAAGGATTTTATAATGGCACTAATATCAACTATAAAATTTAGCACCGAGTACAAATTTGATGGCTAAGTAATGTTAAAAAAGCTATATTTTTTAAACTTAAACGAAAAATAATATTTTATTACATTACGGATGAAATTATATCCGAGTATATCGAGTTATGGAATTTTTTGTAACGTATGGTTTGACCTAGATTACCTCCTGGAGTGTGAGGGTGTGTTAGGACCCCCTCGCGTAATACACTATGCGCGCGGCGCGGCGAGTGCATAAATTAGTTCATGTAATTTTGAATACAGCCGGTTTGGCCCAATTTTCATCCGCCTATAAATCTTCATAGTAATGACTTCATTAAATTTTTTTGCATGTTCCGCAACGCATCCTGTGCATGAACCATGAGCGACCGAAACAACAAGGCGAAACTAGCAACAGCTCACGGCTGTTTCACGAAAGGGTGAAACGATTGTATTGTAAGTATGCGGGGGTGCACGATACTTAGCGTCGCAGCGAGTGTTTGAACAGCAATTGCTTTTTTGGTGGCGGCGTGTGAAGCGTGCGATGGCGGCGAGGGTTGGCAATGTTAGGGGAGAGTTACGGCCGAAACCGAACGAAGGATACATTGCATGATAGCATGTGATAGTCACGCAAGTCGTATCATGTTTATTTACAATTTAAATACTTTTTGAATAAAAAATTACCATGGATTTAACACGTAACAGTAGACTGGGAACAGTAAAACAGTTTCGAGGTGCCGGAAAATGTGTTTATAGATCTACAAGTATAGAATAAAATGGTTTAAAGATAGTTAAATTATGATAATGATGGCATTAGAGAATAAAAGTAATAATGTGATAATTTTATTTGTATATTCAATCAAATATTTTATTTTTATGCGGAAAATATTTTTTAAATTTTTGTTATTTTCTTTTAAAAGTAACAAAACATCATTGTTGATCATTTTTTTTATTATTTTAATTATAACCATTCTTTTTGTTCCATAAACTCGGCACGGCTTTAAATTTATTATTTTTTTATAACCTACAAGTTTGTGTGTGCAATTTTAATAATAAATTCTATAGAAATATTATTACGGTTAGTTTGTGTGGTTTGGGCAATTTTCTTTCAATGGAAATGAATAATTTATGCCTTGTTTTAAACGATCAAGAATGCATAATGGGAAAAGAGGCAGCGCGCGTGCATTGGATTTAGGCCGGACTTAGAATTAAATCTTCCGGCGCAACCGCGTCGCCATTGCCGCCACCGATAAATACATTGGCGCACGACGTCATGGCGCTTCGGCGACGGCTTGCGGCGTAATTAAATATTAAACGAAAGCACTTAAAATCCTATAACACGTACGCGCTCATATCGAATTCCAAAGGCGTGCTCCACAAACCACCGCCAACTTGCTAGCAAACTCAAGACACTAGAGAAATTATACAGGATAGTTACAAAAACACTATTTTTATAAAAACTTTGCGAATCTTCCTCATACTGTATATCCTTAGGTGTACAAACAAAGTAATTTTCAGAGATTGCGCCGTTTTCCGTCCGCGTTGTTTTTTGTCATCAATAGTTTGTACTTGTGAACTTTGCACTCCTTCAGACGAAACGACGGAAGCCGTACAAATGTTTGTCGTTCGCTGGTGAGGATAAATATGTAGCGGCGGCAATAGATTTATAACGACAAAAGGCGTCGCGCCTAAGCGACGAACGTGAAAGGCTTTGATCTTACGGCACGCTGCCAGTCGGCATCGCGCGTTGTTTCCTTGTCGAGCGCCGCCCCCGCTCATCCGGACCGTCGTAATTCCCGCTTCGACCCGCGTTCCTAGAGTCACGCGCCGCCGTGTCCCGCTTTATTACGTATAATCCATCTCGTCGGGCGCTCGGCGAACATTCAATGCCCACATTGCAAGACAGTGGCATAAAGCAAGCACTGGTCTGAAGCCTTCCTAGGGTGAGGGGTGAGCAAACAGACGAGTACGGGTTCATGTCGGGGCAATGCGAGCGCAGCGAAAACGAATGGCTCAATCTCAAACTTTTCTATTTCGTTAGCTCTCATTGTTGTTTTTAGAAAAATAAAAACATGAAACAATACTTAGGAAGGTGAAAATATAATATTATAACTTAAACTTTTATATTAACTACAAGAAATTTTTATTTATATTTAAGAATATTAATTCAAAATTGAATGCGTGAAGACATATTGATTTTCAGTGCAGGAATAATACCCTAGCGACTATTGTATTGACTTTGAATTGAACAATATGTAACAATGTCAGTTTAAGTCTGGTAATATGATTATTTAACTTGGAATTGTCCTGGCTTTAAGGAGCTATTGTTCGCTACAAATGTACAATTCGCCCTCGAGTCTATCCCGAACGTCAAAGACTATTGTGTGGGCGCTGAAACGGGCAGCAGTCGACCGCTAGTAGTTCCTATTCGAGTTGAAACCACCGGTGAGAAGAGGTGCAACACTCACAAACACCAAACCCACTAGTTCACACACTAGGTGCGTACTAGAATGAATTGATGACATCTGGACCGGCGGGCGATTTATTTCCGTCACCACCAAGAATTAATCACAATCCACACGGTGAACGCAAATTACTCATCTGCCTTTTTAGTTTAACCAGGGTAGAGATAGAGCTTTGCTAACAGGCCTAACAGAATCACCTCTATGTAGACGCAGGTTTGTGTGTTTGTGAAATTCTAGAATATACTGAATGTACGATGTTGGAGCGGAGTAGGCAGAGTCATATGTTAATAATTTGGAGTGTTGGAAGAGCGGAGTCGAGCATAGAACGTGAGCAACATGTTGGCAACACATCAGGCCTCGACTCGAGTTGACGAAACTGCCGGCGACGAAACCGCGGCGAAAAGAGATTAATTCTGCCCGCAAACCGCCTCCGACGTGTACCAACTGCTAAAAACCACAAACGGCAAGCGGAAATTCAAGCTTATTAATTTATTTATTTGTCGCAAAGTTTTCGCATCAATTGAAATGATTCAAAGAAGTAAACGTATAAAAAGGACAATATTTTAAGAAATTTTCTAGGAAATAACAAGAAATAAGAATATTGGAATTTTAATTATAATTGTGTACATGAAAATGCTATTAACATTAAGAGTTTTAAAAGGATTGTGTAATTTGCGAAGATAACAACACATTTTTACCGCTCCATACAATATTATTATCGTTTTAAATTTTTTATTCATATTTTCATGATAAAAAAGATGCTACAGTCATTCTACGGCCAATATATGCGGAAACCTATAAAATTTTAATGTTAATACAGGTAATCAAAACATTATCTTTAATTAAACCTTGCAATAAATGTAATATCGTTAATAAAGCCCTGAACAGCTTGCAGCGCGTTCGAAAAAGTCCTGAAATTTATCGAGACATCTTTATATGCAAAATTATGAATATTTATTAACGCGCTAGCGACCGGAAATAGCTTCCGTCTCTCTTACCGGTGCCGAATTTCTACTTCCCCAAAGCGAACGTAAGCCGAGCCAATAAAGAAAATTTAAAGTGACATTGCGCTACATTCCGGTTAAAGCCAAATGCATGACTCGAAGTCATATTTATTTGTTTGCCGCGAATGGCAATCGGTAAGTAAAGCAAGCAAAACAAAGTAAGAATTGCGCAGGTAGCGTAGGCAAAGAGAGAAATGAATAGAAACGTGAAAAGCAAACGGTGTGCCAATAAATTGCGACGCGTGAAACGTGCCGTGCTGCGCGACACGCATCTATTACGAAAAATACAACAATAAAAACAACGGCAAACAAATAATAATTCAATGGGTATTAGGCATTTCACCTTTCCCCGAAACCGCACACAGCTTTTCCAAATAAAGCCATAACAATGGTAATAATTTTTGAGCCTTTCGAAAATGCTCTCACCTTTCGCATAGCGCGTTTCAGTTTTGTGTGGCGCGTTTAATGCTGAATGAAAAACCGCTAACGTTGTTGTGGTTTCAGGGTATTAAAGTGCTTATTAAAATTACATTAACGCGCCGCACTCGGTGCGGCGGTCGATTTTGTCGTTATGCTGAAAACTGAACTTTGCACAAATCACATTTTCACAATTTTCGCCGAAGCGCGCACTTATAATTAGCGATATTTCTTACTGTCTCGTCCGCGCCGTGAGCGCTGATGGTGGGCGATTATAAGCGAAGCACGTCTCGTTTTCATAACGTTATGAAATGTTGCGATACGAAGCGGAGCGTAATAAAACGCAACAGAATGAAACGATGGAACTCCCACGTCAAGCGTGGTGCAAGCAGGCGAATAAATCAACCGAGAAAGAAGGAGAATTCGCGTGCGGTGCCATTCGCGAAACGTCCAGACGTGTCACAATTTCGAAGAGAAAATGAAGATGGAAAAATGAACCAAAATTATAATGAGAATTAAAATGGAAATTTTATAGTTAGCTAAAAAATTAATCCATTAAAATGAATTTCTTCGAATATAAAAATATAAATAAAATTTTAGTTAAAAAATTACAAAGATTTTTTTTAGAAAAAAAAATGCATAAATCTGTGAATAACCTGTCGTCAAAGTTCACTTTTATTCACTTTACTATAATGGCACATTGCATGTTGCATGCCCCACGTGTCCGAACGATAAACGTGCATTGCCAACTTTTGCGCACACTAGAATTTCTTTTGCCAGGTGATCGCGTTTGAAAAAATGCGTGAACCATAAAAAATGCGACATAAACGCGGCACCAGTCGCGCGGAAATGGCCAAGAAACAAATGCACTCTTATTATTATTTTATTAGGCGAGCACTTGCACTCAGACGGGTCGTAATTATACAGGTCGAACAGCCGCATGCTCGCGTGCCACACAGCTACTTTCGCGAATACACAATATATAAAAATAAACATAAAAATAGAAGGCTGCGAAATGCGTTCGAAATTGTGCACTTGCAACATTATACACTTGAGTGCGTACACGAGTGGCAAACAAACTTAAAACCTATCTGCTAGTGCAGATTACGTCGTGTAACATAAACGCCGCTAGTATTAATAGAGCTAAAAACTGTTCAAAGCTGATAGGAAACGTTTGCAAAACTGTGGAAAACTAGCAGAAAACTGTGAGAAACTAGCAAAGGCACTACGCACAAGAGTGGTTTCTAACCGTGCTTCGTTGGCACTTGTGTTCGCGAGGAAATCAAGTTAAAAGTGCTTGAAAACAGAACTAAGCCGCCATACGTGCGTTCGAATCATGCCACCCTTATTTCAAGCGCAGCGCAGCGCGGAATTTTATTTTAATTGCACGCTACTAACGTGCACAATGGCTAACTATGTACGCTTAGAAGGGCAATTTCAACTTTCAAAATTAATAGAAAAACTGGTATTTTCCTAACATTATTACATTATATATAAGTTGACATATATTTTTAATATTTATATTGAATTTACATAAAACAATAGTGTATAAAGTATCAAGGGCCAAAACAGAAGTTTTGTTTCACGTTTAAACTTCTGTATTTTAAATCTTTGACATTCGCTTGAACACTACTAGGAAATGTAAGGTTATAAATGTCGTGTCTTGCTACACAAGACACCTTCGTTGGCTCGTTTAATTGGCGATGCATAGAATTTCATATGGTTTGGTGCTGCACCGTTGGAAAATGGGCAGGTGCAAGCTCCGGCCCGTAGATAATGCCCATGAGCAAAGTACTTAACGCACGGCTTGGACGTCCGCATATAAAGTGCCTCTTTTTGTGTCTAAAAACCGTGGAAAAACTGGCTTTATATAGGTAGAAGTAGAAAAAAGTTTTTTTTTGACAAAAAGCGTACTGGAATAATTAAAATAAAGCTATTGTGGTAATCAATATTTGGTCAAAAAATATTAGCTGTTCAAATAACCATTCAAAACTTTTTATTTTCCATTTTAAAACACTTTGTACCGAACTGTTCATTGTTTGGGAGTATGTAAATACAATGCTGCAATAATATCGGTATATTGTGTTACAACAAGAGCTAATTAAAAGTTCAGATTGTTGCGCGTGCTTGCATTCCATGGGCAGCGGAAAATTTGAACATTTTTCATTGCCAACTTGTTACTTGCCGCATTTTCTCCCAACGCGGCGCAGCGCAATTGACTGCGTAATGAATTTAAAATTCCGCTGTTTTTAATAAAGCAATTCGATCGCTTCATTTTCACGCTGGTATGCGCCATTGTAATTTAAATAAACTAGTTACAGATTAAACGATATTATATACAACAAAAACGATTTTCCAACGTTATGATGGATGTTATGAGCTTTTTTATTTTGTTTTTGGTCAAAATAGTCAAATTAATGTTTGTAGTTACGTTTTTGCATAAAAGTATTTGCTGTTTATAACTCTATATATTTAACAAATATTTATATATTTTATTAAAATTTGAAGAATCAATATACTTATTGTATTACGTAAGGATTATGTTTTGTATGCTTACAATATTTATTTTGGGAAGCAATTTTAATAAAGAAAATGAAAATATAGCTGACATATTTGCGTCTTTCCTGGCACTTTTCTGGTATATTTTTACGTTGTCTTTTTGGCGTTGTTTACGCAAATACTACTCAGAATGTGAAATTGAAAATAAAAAAAGAGAAGCGATCGCAAATCGATATCGCGACGCAAGTGCGCAATTCCATCTGAAACAAACAAAATATAAAAATAAAACCCGAATTGAAAAAGAAAAAATTCAATGCTTAATCTTAAATTATTTATCAGAAAATATAACGTCTTTTTTGCCAAGTTTAAAATTAACATCAGAATTTAAAACTAAACTGTACCTAATTTATAGTAAACTTTTAATTAAATAGTTAATTAATTTTGCCTGTTGATGAGATTTTGTTTTAAATGAAATTTTACACTCTTAAGATGGAAAAATCAAAACCGTTATTCTCCGAAATTATAATTTATTCAAGTAGTTATATAATTTATTATTACTTGAGAAAATATTTAATTACTCCCTTAGTAAATATTTTTGCATACATATGACTCTTTTACATTTTTACCCGCGCATCCACTCATTGCCTCGATCCCTTTTTTGCCCGGTTTTAGGAAAGAGATTTCCTGGAAGCACATGCCTGTAGGCTTCGCATCTTTGTCTGTCCCCAACCGTATTTTGGCTATTTATTTCGTTCGGTTTTTGGCCGAAAGGCAGAGCTTTTGAATATTGGATCCTGCGGGCGCGCCGTAGTTTTATTTGCGTTTTTAAATTTCGTACGGCTCAACACATATAAGCATAGGTCATAAAATTTTAGTATAATGGTGCCCGCCACCATTCGGTAGTCCGATGTTATTGGCATGCTTAGTTTTATTCCTTTCAAAAAACCAATAACCAATACAACCAAATTATACCGTAAAATTATTTAATATATTTCCAAATAAATAAATATGCAAAACATTGATTTTTCCATAAAGGTATGATATTATATTGTGATAGAAATGTATATGAATATTTTAATTTGTACAAATGTTCGAAATTTTTAGACATTCAAATTTTGTGCACCGAATAAATGTGAATAAGTAAACCGCACCAGACGACCAATCAAATTTGATGTCACCATAATCATTCCACCGCTGCTACCGCCGCCGCCAGAGCATTACCGCTGCTTGAATATCGCTAATTTCGATAATACGAAATCGTTTACCGTTTATCGCTTACAGCTTCTAGCCAACGCGCTGAACCGCTTACACTTGCCCCCAAATGGAATGCTAATCCACAATAAAACACAAATTGCATTGCCATTGCCGTGCTCTCCACAGACTCAAGAATAGACATTCAAATAAAATTAGAAACTGTTTCATAATCCCCCTTAAAAAGATAAACAAAAAACATAAAATTAATAACTAAATATATTCATATATAAAAGTAAGAAATAGCAATTACCTATATTATATTATGTATTCGAGTTTTATAAATAATTCCTTATTTCATTCATTTTTGTTACAATAATCTGTCAGCTTGTTATTTTTTAGTTTTGCTTATATGGTTCAATGCAACACAAAGACACCACTTGACATTAACCGTAGTTAACTACAATATGACATTCTTTTCAATTCCCTTCGTTTTCCGTTCCATCAATTCCATTACTATTATTATCATTCATACAACCAAAGTTGTTATTATTACAAAAAAAGACCACTAAAAATAGGAATGATTGAAATGTTTTTGTTCGTAAAAGTTCGTCGCATTATTAATGCATTTTAAAGTGGTTTTTGTTGTTCATGTCGATTAAAAAAATAACAGTAACTAAAGAAATGTCCACAATCCAAATCAGTGTGACATAAATGTATACCTACTGGAGTTTATTATTTATTAGATAATTAAACATTCTTTTAGTTTATTTTGTAATATCGTGTTGACAACTCAATAT